ATCCTATCTAATCCTATCTAATCCTATCTAATCCTATCTAATCCTATCTAACCCTATCTAATCCTATCTAATCCTATCTAATCCTATCTAATCCTATCTAATCCTATCTAATCCTATCTAATCCTATCTAATCCTATCTAATCCTATCTAATCCTATCTAATCCTATCTAATCCTATCTAATCCTATCTAATCCTATCTATCTATCTCTCTCTCTCTCTATCTATTTATCTATCTATCTATCTATCTGTCTGTCTGTCTGTCTGTCTGTCTAATCTGTCTATCGATCTATCTGTCTGTCTGTCTGTCTATCTGTCTAATCTATCTATCTGTCTAATCTATCCATCCATCTATCCAGCTATCGATCGATCTATCTTTCTATCTATCTATCTATCTATCTATCTCTATCGATATCTATCTATCTATCTATCTATCTATCTATCTATCTATCTATCTATCTATCTATCTATCTATCTCTATCGATATCTATCTATCTCTATCGATATCTATCTATCTCTATCGATATCTATCTATCTCTATCGATATCTATCTATCTATCTATCTATCTATCTATCTATCTATCTATCTATCTATCTATCTATCTATCTATCTAATCCTATCTATCTGTCTATCTATCTATCTAACTAACTCCCTTTTAATATATCTATTTATTGTTAGTTCAAAAATTGTTGAAACCTGCGCTGGCCTACATTAGCTTACCCGCCAATTGCCTCCATTGCTATCCATCGCTGGTGTGAAACCTGGTCAAGACACAAAGTATCAACCCCCGCCAAGCGCTGCGATCGCCATGCGGCTGCGTCCTGGCGCTCTGCTGTCTGGAGCTTAGGCGATCATTGCTGCAGGATGTACAATCTCATCACCCCACTTGCACCCCAGCAAGATACGGATTCAAACATGCAGGCCGATTGATTACATGTCACCAGAGGTTCTAAATAGGCAGCGTTTTGTTGAAGCACAAAGTCCAAATGCCCTGGACCATTGCAATTTTTGCATCCTGATATGGGCGCTGTCCTAGTCGGATAAATCGATTCCAGAAATGTTTTTCAGTCGATTCAAATCCAATTTGATATCATTCTCAAAAAGGGGTGGTCCTGAACTGAGCAGTATGTTGCGACCATGGCGACCATGGGCTGACACCACCCATTCTTGATTCATACATACCATTTCCACGTTCCATAACATCTGGTTATTTCTAGGATGAATCCAGAAATTGGCAGTTCACAAGACGAACCGCATCCTCCGAGGACCTTCCTGGCGTTACCCATCTTCCTGACCTTTGTGGTGCCACGGGGAGACAGGACAGGGCAGAAGGGTGCACGTGGTTTCCTGGATCAGAAGAGTAGGCCCTGAGGCCAAGAAAATGCACCAAAGTTAGTCAAAGTAGATCCAGCATAGCAGTGGCATAGAGCAATTTTTGCTGCTCCGACTTTTCGATACTTTTCCGTTGTCTGATTCACGACATATTTGCCGGAAGATCTTCACACTTTCGACTTCGAAAGTTGTTGATGAAAGTGCACTTATTGGAAGTCAGGAGCACCCTGCGGCCAGAAAGACAAAAACACTTCACTGCGAGGCCCAAGTCTCAGTTGAGTACTTTGGAGTTTGAGGTGCCAATGTCAACCGATTGATCAATGGCCCAATCGAGGGGTCAAAGGAATTGGGACAGAACTCAACGGATTCTAGTATCACTGGTTCTTGCATGGGCACGTTGTGTCCAAAACTGTTGGATCCCCAACAACAGTTTCCTTCAGATCTCCAGATGTTGTTTGTGGACGTTATTTTCTTCAGGCAAGCGGAAGGCAGTGCCTTGCTTGCAGGAGTGCGCAGAGTTTCTGCTGAAAACCTTTGACTTGCAAGTCGCTGGGTTACAATGTTGCAAAGTCAACAACGGATGATACCAAATTTATCCAAATTTCACTGTTTGGTTGGAATTTCCACATGGTTTCTAAGCAGATGAAAAAAACATCACGATTCGGAGGTGTTCCACTTTTTTAATATGTTTTAATGTATGAAGATTTGAAACTTGGGGTTTGATACTGTATGCTGCCAAGCCTTCATTGCCACACAGCTTCGCGCCATTCTTCGAGGTGATGCCGGCGTTTCGACGAAGGAAACCAAGGCGGCCAACAAATGTAAATGTAGATGGAGGACTTTTAATTGGGAGGGTCGATAGCAAGACAGTTATTATCAAGAACAGAGTAGTTGCAAACATGTACCAACCTGAATCGCAACGTCGAGAACATTTACTAAAAAATATATATGTCATACAATTGTAACTTAACATAAAAGTTTGATCCTACTTGTAGCGGGCAATAGCCTGAAACCCTGTTTGTAAGAACTCATGAAGAACTCATGCCAGGGCAAAACTGTCGCAGAGTCGCTCAAAGTAGCAGAAACTCGGCTGAAATTTAGCCAACGGAAATCACTTGGAGTGTCCTGTTTGACGTGTTTGATTGGTGCTGCTCTAAGCATGTTGTCCCATTCATAAGCAACCAACAAACAGATGCCAAAGGTCATTGCTTTCAGCTGGGGTTGGACTCAGGAGAAAGCAGACGAGAAGGAGATGAATATCTTTGGTTGCTTGACCAAGTATTTGATCGGGTCGTACTAAGCTGTCGTTTGTGGGCAAGTGAGCAGAATGGGAAGACCGTTATTAAGGTCGGTTCATATTCTTATTCTAGACGATATCACATCCCAATTTGTGTAGGTCATATCTTCAAGACATACAAATAGCATCAAATAGCATCAAATAGTAATCTTGGCTGCATCTCCCATGTTTCCACAGTCTCCAAACCATGGCTGCTCGAATAACTACCAATCTTTGATGTCAGTCAATACCCCCCATTTTTTGTCTCACCAATTCTTGGTTGAATCCGAGCCATCCACAGATCCAACCATTTGCCACCGAGAAACCGGAGCTTTGGGAATCATGGGCGCCGCCATTCTGCTGGGCGGCGTGCTGGTTGTGGGTGTCCTGGGAGGCCGTTTTGGGAGATGGGTGTCATCAGCCGCGTTGGTTATCCCCCGAAGTTACACCCATGGATTCTCCCTGTATGTTCCGCAGATTTTCCCAGAAAAAATGGTAAAATGAGGGTTTCAGGGCGTGTATGTTGGTATGTTGCTTGTTATGATTTTGTGTTGGGGTTCAATGTTTCATCCTTGGTTTTGATGATTTTTCAGGTGGGGTTTTGGGGGTCATTTTGATGCTAAAGTGATGTGTCAATGTTTGGTTCAGATGAGGGTAGGATTTGTTTAGGCTGTTGGGGTTTGTGTTTTGGTTCAGATGAGGGAGATACTGTGGATAGTGTACTTGTGGTTGTCGTTTTTTATTGTCAAGGTATGTCTTGTCTTTTTTTGGGTATGATTTTATTGTGTTTCCTTATCATCAGTTTCAAGACAGAACATTCAACTTGATATCTTTCAAAAGGTTCCATGTCTTTCAACATCTTTCATTTTTTATTCTCTCATTCTCGTCTTTTTTGGTGGCGTTTTTTTCTTGGTTGTGTTTTGATTTGAACGTCTTTCGCTTCGCCTCATTTTTTGCGGACTTCTTCATGGACTTTCTGGATTTCGTCGGGGGCGCCCAGATGAGATGTGCGCGCTGTTTCGTTTGCATGGAAGCATCACTTTTGAGGACATATTGCGTTTCTTGAGGCACTATGTACACTCTATGTACACATTGTGGCATTACACTACACCCAGAGATGTTGATTGCTTTCTCCCGCAGCAGACAGGCTCACAAATGCTCACAAGATAAGATGAGTTCTACTTGCGGCATGTGTTGCACTATGAACAAGTCAACGCATCAAGAAATCGTAAAGTGCTTGAGCTCCAGCACAGTCCCAGTTCTGGAGATTTCCGCCATGGTATGTCGCGTTGCCTCATTGCCCGATGTTGTGGTTTTCGGCTTCTCATGTCAGGCCGACGAAACCACCGTTGCTTCTCAAACAACGCTCCAGAGAAGGAGCCGACCACGAAACAGCAGATTGGAAAGTGGTTGGTTGGTGGTGGTGGCTCGTTGGCCATCGTGACCTTTGGATGGGATATGTGGCGGCATCGTCAAGAACAAGAACGGCATCGTCAAGAACAAGAGCGAGTGAAGAATATCATTGTGAATGCCTCTTTCAAAGCACGCGAGCCACGTGTCAAGATTGAACGGAAGATAATCAAGGCGTCCAAGCACCACCTTTTTTTTTTGTGTTTGTCCCTGCGTTTCTTGACAGAAGGGATTTGTTCTTGAGATAGGTGTTATTTCATGTCATACTGACATTTTGAATTTGATGCACTATGCTCACTATGCACTGTGGCAGGACGAAATGCACCAGTTGTTGGACTTGGACGACCCCCGCCCAATCCTCATCTGGGGGAACCATGAAGTTGGCAAGAGCACCATCCTTTGGGAAGTGTTGCAGGAGAAACAGTGGAACAATGGAGTGCTCCACATCAAGCTCACGCAGAACAATCACTTGGCCACGGAAAAGGTGATGAGCGCGTTGGCAGTGCTCCATGAAGAGGAGGTGGTGCGTGGTTTGAGAGGTGCCAAGACAAGAATGGGACGAAAACCCATCATCATCCTTGAAGTTCCTCGTGGTGTCTTCGAGCCATCTGTGATGAGCAGCGTCTCCGCCTTTGCGAAGTCATGGGGCTTTGATGACGAGGTTGCCAAAGTGCTGGTGATGGTCAGTTCTGCAGTGTCAGCCATGGCTTTTGACGCAGACGGTCGTGAGCGCCGATTCTTCGTTCCACCACTGACGAGTGAAGAGCTCTCGCAGAAGGAGGCCATAATGAAGAGCTTCAGTTCATGTGGTAATTGTTCAGTCACCTTCAATCACTTTAGTGCTTTTTGTTGGTGCTACTTCTGGCATGGGTTGGGATGTTTGCAGATGGACGTCTCCTTGTCAGGTTGAGGAATTCCTACGTCATCATGGCGGTGAAGAGGCCTCCACGCACAAGAGCGACATGATTCAACTCACAGGTGGCAACATCGGTGTAATGGAGGACAAGGGTCATGAAACCATGGGACAACAACCCGAAACATCAACGAACCGTGAAACCTTGAAACTTGCCCACATCTCCTGCAGGACGTGGCGCAAAATGCCAAAGAGACATCGTGGGAAGAAGCAAAGTCCAAACGGCTTACGGTGCAAAGAAGTCAGGTCCAGAACTTCTTGGGCATTGACAACCAAGGTGGCTTTGGCCCAAAAGAGGTTAGGATGGCACGCACCTTGGCCAAGGCCGTGGCGCATAGCTCCTTCGAGCAGTGTGTTGATGCTGAGAGGTTCAGGGAGCACTTCACGCCTGCGCACATGGCCGCAGCGGTGCGGCGACAAGGAGCTCATTGCATCTATGTGGATGCGCGGGCAGAGGAGCGACGCTACTGCGCAGTGTCCCGCACAGTGCATGACCTTTTGAAGAAGGTCTGAAGGCGGAAGTGGCAGTGGCGTGTGAATGAGAGTGCTTTGTTCCTTGTAGGACCAGTAGGACTTTTGGATTGCAGGTCGGGTGCAATCCGTTATGCACTGAAGGTGCCATTCGTGATTCATGGATGGTGCAATCCGCATTGCGTCCAACCAGACTGGCAAAACACAGAAAGGTGATGATTTTTATTGGGGTTGCACCTACCCTTCAATCCGGGATGCATTCTATCTGCGCTGCACAATGCACCGGTGTGACAGACTGCACAGTGTTCCAAGACTGGATGAGCAAAAGTGAAATGAAATGGCAGAGATTGAAGATTGGTTAGTTTCGCAGTTGTTGGATTGGCACTCTCAAATGTAGCATTCTTCAGGCCCAGAAGTTTGGTGATGATATCAACCACTTTTCACTGCTTTACTGTATCCAATTGCATCCAATTGCCCTCTTCCACTTGCCGAATGCGTCCGCGCCAAGGTTGTGAAGGCATCAGGGACACCATCTATTAGAAGGTCAATCCCAGCATTTGTCATAATGCAAGATTTTGGAAACGGGTTCTATCAAAGCCTTGAAGCAGCGAACTATTAAACAGCCTTCAAAACCTGATTGTTTCGGTGAAAATCCAACCAAAGATTTGCTGGAATGACATTTCCAAGCAGTCTCCAAAACTTGACGTTGGCGATGATTAATTTAGCAATCTTTTGGGGGAGCATTCTGTCCATGCCCCTTGAGCATGTATTGGTTCATATGCACCACACACCCGCGCAAACCCACAGACCCTTTAATCCTCCCGATTTGTTCATCTTGTTTCTTCAGGGAAATCAAGTTTCGTCGGAGTGGTCTGGAGCATCCAACGGGTTTGGACGGTGTGGCAGGGTTAATGTTTATTATGTGTATATATATATATATAGGCATATGTGATGAAATAGTTCAAGTTGTTTTTTCGTGGAAACGAAGAGAGACAAACCATCCGCCCTGCAGGAGTTGATGGCAGATGAGCATGTTTTTTGGGTAATGAGGCTTCGCCATACTGCTAACTTCAACTGAAGACAATGCAGTTGCAGTTTCCCAACAAGCTGCAACAACGACAATGGCATTCTAACAACTTTGACAGCGGCAGGAACAGTATTCAACAAGTGTCCTAAACTGGTCTTTTCGAATTTCTTTTCACATCATTTTGGGACACCTCATTTGCGAACACAGAACACCCCAAAGATACTTAAAGACAAGTCGCCTTATGTAATTAAGATTTGATATGCCCTGCTATTTAGTAATTGATGGTAAGAAGCAAGAAATGGATGAGGACATCTTTGACCAAATGGTTGAAGCACTCAATCCAGAAACAGTCCAAGAACCCCCAATCCAAACCTCTACAAGATGGAAACCCGATGGAACTTATGACAGCAAACCATTAGACCCCGAATACTTCTCAAAATACTATCAAAAGAAACTCTCAACACCCTTCAAGTGTCCCGACTGCGGACGCACCATTTCGTCCAAATCCAATTTATCCAAACACCGTCAAACCAACGTTTGTATGAGAAACAGATGCCAATGTTGAAAGGTGCTTTAAGACACCTTACGGCACGTTTCGTTCAAAGGGTTTTCCAATCCAAAATTTTCTCAATAACAAACATTTTTATTGAGAAGGTTTTTATGTTGAAGTCCAACCCCAATCCCAGAAATTCCAACAGGCAACCAATACCCAAAACTACTTAAAGAAATGCCACCTTATAGGGTAAGGAGTAAATGGCAGAGGATACAAGGTTGAAACATTCAACAGAGACATTTTATGTTAAAAATCAATCAGACAACCAATCCAATCAACCGCAACATCCTCAACAAACAATGGAAACTGAAAAACTACTTAAAGAAACATCCACTAATAATAATATAGAATATACTATAATGGACACTTCACAGCAGATTGTTTTAGATTATCTTTTGTCATCCGAACAGGGTGAGATATTGAAACGGAATGGACAGGAACTCAAGAAACTCAAGATTGGAGAGAAGACCTACAACTTTGAAAGGGGAAAACCCATATCAAAAATATTGAACACCAAATTCAACAAGATTAGGCAGACTATGGACTACAAAAAGTATGAACTGAAGGAAAAGAAAGGCATTAGATGGGTCAATCTTGACAAGAACAAAGCACTCACAGGCATCCAAATGAGATACAAAGCAACCACCACCAACGAACAATCTGCTTTCAAGGGTTATGTCAATTCATTTGCCATCACAAATGTCAGAGTTAGAGGCATCAAGGCGCTACAGTATCTCAAATACCAAGATTTAAGGTTGAAAGAGTATTTGATGAAACACAAGGGTATGAAAGTTATTTTACAGGTTTCCGCCACTATGAAGAGCAAGAAAACTAACGAAGAGATAAGGGAGAGCATCAGAAGTAGAAGATATAACATCACCAATGAAGATGAAATCCCCCAAAAGTTAAATCAAATGGCAACTGACATAGAGTTTCAGTTAGATAAGATGGAGATGTCGGAGAGTGGATTGGTGTTAAAGCATATTGATAAGTTGAAATTCAACTATGACAAATACAATCCTACTCGTGGAGGTTCA